CTAATGCACGTAACAGATGCTGAACCCTTCAATAAATAAATAAACAAACAAAAAAGAGTAAATAAACGAAGCATATAAATGAAGAACAAATAAAAAAAATGTAATGAGTGTGATGTAATCATTTTGATTTGTTTGAATTTCATTTATAAAGCATATATTAATTGTTGACTAGTTTTTATTTAATCATATTTTGGTTCTTTTTTTTATCATTTGATAAGAAACAATAGAAATGTAGTTCTACAGAATGATGCTGAGGATATCGTGGGCCGAACATGTGAGTAATGACAAAGTTTTGTAGAAAATGTAAACAAAAATGAAGCTAATACTTAACATCAGGAGGAGACAGTTGAGGTTTCTGGGGGATATAATAAGCAAGGAGGGCTTGGAAAATCTGATACTCACAGGACAGATAGAGGGCAAGAAGGACAAAACACAATGCATAACATACTTAATGAGTAATAAGCAAAAAACTGAAAACAGGTCATTTTATATAGAACATGAGTTGAAATATTGAAGAATGATTTTTCTATTTTAAGATCCATGCTTAATAGATATACAATATAAAAAAAATTTAAATCTTCTTTTCATGTCTCTTCAGGACGTGGGCAATTATGGCTCTCTGCAATTTCCTATTCTTTGTAGCTGTAAGCAATGCTTGTTCCCTTATTTTCCCAATCCCTGTTCTACCAGCCATTTACACAAGCTTATTAGTTGAGTTACTTGATGTTTCTGTCTTAACTTTGTTGAAGTATGTTAATATATATATGAGTATTTTTAGATGTCTGTTTGTTAACATGACCTCACGATTTATATTTAATGCAAAATATGAAACAACAAGAAGGAACAAAAACGGTTTTATAACAACAAGATTTATATTTATTTTTTGTGTAATTATGTACATGTATAGAGGTTAGTATTTTGTTGGTGTTATGTCCCTTTGACTGATTAAAGTTTTACTGATGAAATTGAAATATTTTTATCTGAGCTTACAAAAGTTGAATTAATTATAAAGCTGTGAAATGCTGAATAAACTTTTAGCTTTAGAAGAGTATTTCAAAGAGAAAAATTCTTGTTGTTTGTTTGGAAATGTTTCGTATGTTTGTAATGTAGGTTGGAAAATTTTGTATGTATGCGTGAATATGTTTTTATGGGTGTCTGACCAGACATAGTCAAGACTGGAATCCTTTAAGGTTACATTTTCGCAGGAAAAGAGAATGAACAAGCTTGTGTTTGCTATCTATAATTAATGTAACCATGTGATGGGATCATGGTAAAAGAGCGGGAAAACTTGACTTGGTCATGCGCTGGAAAAATATTTGTACGTGGGTGGATTGCAAATTGTGTGTTTATTGACCAATTAGAAGCTGAGGTTTTCTGAAAATGTGTATTACGCCAAATAAGCTCTTTGATCCACTTTTTGCACAGATTTGTACAAAATTCAACATTGATAAGAAAGTGGTATGGGGATGCTAAAACTTCACTATGTCCTGTGAGTGTCAAAATTCTACAAACTCTCTTATGTGTTCCAAAAATTTCAACTGTCTCTTATTGATTCTTAGTTCAAGTGACCTTTTTGTTTCCATTTTCCTTACAATGTGAGAGTTTAATATTTTTCCAATATTTGTTTAAATGTGATTTATGAAATTATATTTGAATTCTCACATACAGAACAAATTGAAATTTATTCATGTTATTATTTTTTGTCACTATACAAAAAATGATTTGAAACTGATTTACAAACTGTAAATTATAATTTTAAAAACAGACATTTTAAAAATATATGTTAATGATGTCCAGCATTTTTAAGATTTGTAATTTTTATTTAAAATTCCTTGACTAGGTTCAGCAATTATTCTTTGAAGTATAATGCTGACTGCTTTCTTCACTGTTTAAATGTTGTTAATATTGTTTGAAATATTGTTTAAAATATCATTTCAAATATTTTAAAATATTGCTAAAGATATTGTTTAAAATATTGTTTAAATGCTGTTAAAAAATGTTTAAAATATTGTTTAAAATTCTCAGATTAGATATAGTTACTATTCCGTGAATTATGGTTCCCAAAATTTTCATCATAATATTGAGATGAGATACTGTTTTTATTCTTTAAATTATTTTGTTTAGCAAAATCTTTGTTTGATCTTTGTTAAATATTGTTTTAAATTTTCAGATGATTTCTTATTCTATCGCAAATTACTGTACAAGATCTTGCTGAGATGTTCTTTGCCCAATCTACTTTCCAAAATTGAACAACTGACCAAACACTAGTTTCTTTGTTATAAATACCCCTTTGTCTGACTGAGAACTTTTAAAGGCCCCTGGTTGTATTGTATTATCATGTTTGTTGAATATTGTGTGAGATTCTGAAATTAGTTATTGTTATTGATTCTGAAATTAGTTATTCTGAAATTAGTTATTATTCTGTGATATATAAAGCCTCATCTTTGATTTTTAAATCCCTATATTTATTTTAATGTTCTTTTCAGCCTCATGACTGAATGTTAGCATGCCAACCACAAGACATGTGTTTGAAACTCATTATGTCAGTTAAGATGGTGAATTCCTGATAATATCAGTTTGGAGAAACAATTCCAGTATGCAGCATCATTGAGAAGAGCCTGAAATCCATATCACACAAGCCCTGTGAGTGAAATTAGGTAAATGAAACTGTCTGGAAGTTGTTGATGGTTGAGTTAAAACAAAGCCATGAGCCCTTGTCTAATGGGCAGATAAAAGCTTTTTAACCATGGCTGGTAATCTGTCCAGAGACAGAGTATCAATAAAAACACTCATCTCCAGGATCCTGGCCACTTGTGGGGATGTAGTAACCTAAAAACTCATGATGACTGAAATTCTTGATGAAATTAATGTCACGTGAGTTTGTAATCTGCCACAGGCAGAAAAAGCACATGATAATCGCACATATTTGCACATTGATTCATAGAATATTATTTTATTTTTTGCTTTTTACTTTAGCTGATTAATTATTTCTTTTTAATTTCCCTTTAAAAATCTTACTAAATTGTATGTATTATTTTATTTTATTAATTTTATAATTTTGGAGAAATACTACAACTCATTTCAGTGAGTTATTCATATTGGTTTGTAATCTTAATAAACTCAACAAAAAATTGACTGATATCAACCTTGAGAAAGAAAGACCTTCAGTACAATACACAACAGTAAATCGTCATTCAATTTCAAATCAGAATTTTAAAATGTAAGTATTGAAAATAGCATTAAACAATTTTAGTAAAAGTTGTAGTCTGAATAAACCCTCAAAAGAACTGCTCACCTTATTTATTGTTGCCTTTCACAGAAGTCACCAATGCTGAAACTGAACAATCCTCATGAACAGAGAAAAAATAAATGAATTGGGACCAGAAACCACTCATTGGCTTCCTTTCTTCTTTGTTCTTTCTCCTGTCAATTCATATAAATCTATGTTGATTTTATGATATGCTGGAATGAGTAGGATCAGTCAATTGTTAACCAATTGATTGATGCTTTAAACTAAAGTTACAAAACAATTTTCACTGCTTTGTTTACTATGATGCTGTTACTCATCCTCTAAATGTAATTGTTGGCTTCCTACAATGCACATCCCCTCTTCTTCAACATTTTATGTATTAATCACATCATATGTATATATCCACTCAATTACCTTACATTGCTTTGCTTGATCATCTCCCATATGTGGTGTAATCTTTCTCTCATTCCATTCCCCATTAGCAACTCATGTTCTACTTGTCCAACATCTTCCTTAGAACCTTAGATTTAAATGCAGTGCCATTATCTTTAACTATCAGATTTATGGCTAAAAACACCTCGTTTAAGGCTTCCATGATTGTGGTGGCTGTTTTTGTTCTGAATCCCATCCATTTGTTTATTGAAATAACTTTCCTTCTTCCCTAATTAGTGTACACTATATTTGACCAGTCATGTGTTAAACTGTCACCACTATATCACAAAATTTTCATCAGATGATGACTCTTAAACATCATTACCACTAATCAAGAGCACCTTAGAAATACCTTTTTATATTCTTTGTCACAACATGAAAATGTCAGATTCATACAGGAGCAGCTCTAGCCCAAATTGTTTTACTTTTCTGATATTGTTACAAAATATTTTGTTAAAATTCAAGAATTTGTGATAGATCTGTGACATTGCTTGTTTTATAGGAAATTTATTTACTTGTCATAAATATTTTCTCTTAGATGTTCATATTCTACTTGTTTAATCTTAGGATTTTAGTTGACATTGTTTGTGTAGCAGACACATTTCTGTTAAGTCAAACACAAATTCTGTGTTAAAAGTATATCATAGCTTATAACAACAAATGACAACAAGGCTTCAGCAGCAATAGCAGCTGTAAGAAAGAAAATCAATGATGAATGTAGTCAAGTGTGACTACAGCAGCAGTGTCAGCAGCAGGTAGGAAAGAAGAACATTAGGTTCAAAGTTCAGGATTGAATGGAACAATAGCCTTGTGGATTAAAGTTTTGGTTCATAAATTTGGTGACAGTTATTGTGAGTTCAGTCTTTCTGTCTGTTAGTACAGGTTCACTCAGTGAAAACAGGACTAGCAGTAACTGAGCAATACTAAATAAGAACAAGATGAAATATCACTAGATATGGACAGTGGAATGAGAACACTCTACCCCATAGATTAAATAAAGGGTTTACCTGTATTATACTCTGCTTCAAATTAGACCTCTTTCTGATTTATTCCACATCAAAAACTTGTTAGACAGATGTGAAAAAATGTTGCTCTTTGCACTGCATCTGGCTCACTAATCAAATCCCTCCCTACCAAAAAAAAAAAATAATTAAATATTGGAACCAATCATGAAACTGCTGGGCCATGTATCCATCCTGATTGCTTAAAAGAACCCACTTGATGACCTTCAAGGTAGTTCACAGTGGCCTCTTAGTCAAGCAATCTGATGCAAGATTCAATGTGAGGTCAGCATGCAATCAAATCTCCCATATTTGAGATCAGACTTCTTCCCTGACAAGTGTCACCTCACTTGCCTACAAGAAGCATTCTTTCTTGATCCAATGTATACATGGGTAATACAGATAGTTTTATTCACATTGGGAGTTATTACCAGTAAGACTCAATGTCTTGTCACTATTTTAACACTGCTTGTCATAGTATATGTTATAGTTTCTGTGTGGGACAAGTGTAAATATTTGTATATAATTTTGTGTATGACATAGCTGTATAAAATTTTTTGTGAATGAAGCATGTCTGTCATTCTTTTTCCTTCAGCTATTCTGTCCTGCCTGTGTATTAAGTGTTACTATATCATGAATATAATAATGACTATAATAGGCGAAATGTAACCGGGAATATTACTTTCTTGCTTAGCACTCTCATTAGCAGTATATAACACCTGGATCAACAGATACATAAACAATGTTAGAGAGCACAAAACCAAAATATTGTGATAATAACAACATAGATTAGTAAATTAGTTCGAATGTATATATTACTTTTTCAGGTTTTATTTGTTTGTTATATTTTATATTACACTAAACCAGAAAGATACAAATAAATTTACTTTTCCCATAAAATGAACCACCAAATCAACGATATTATTTTTTCAAATTACTTGAAGAGAAGAAATTTCATCTCTATAGGAAATATATTTGTTACTCAGGCATATTTTCGGGCTTTTGTCACAAATCTTCATATTTTCTAGTTTACTCTATTGCTATTTCCCACAAAAATATCTTTAACGCCACTATATTCAAGAGAGGCAACTCAATAAAAAAGGCGAAGAGAGTTGCTGTTCTTGAAGAAGATTACGTGTGTAAGTGTGGCTTCCATGATTTTACATGTGAGCAAATTTTTTTTGTAGCAGAAGTCCAAAAGGCAATCAGGTGTCGTTTACAGCAAACGTGATTTTTTCCTTTTTACCATGGCTGCAAACACAGGGTAACACTTTTATTTTATTTTCGTTGACTTTTTTTTCGTTTAAAGCTTCAACAAATCGCACATCTCAGTTGCTGTTTTAATAGATTTTTTTTTAATAACAATAAAATTCTGTTTCGATGAATCGATCGAAGTGTATTGTTAACTTAAACATCAGTAACACCGTTTCTTCTTTTCTAGTGGACGGGATCAAAGTCCTTTCTTTGTTAAATAAAAAAAATGAGATTTTAAATAGGAAATTTAAAACTTTATAGGTTCTTATATGGACTTATTAATTTTATTTTTATGTTCCTTAAACAGTTGTAAATGATGTGTAAAGTAAATATAAATATGAAAAATGATAAAATGATTTTGAAACGTTGTCCCAATTTTTGACATTAACTCCACTTGTTGGGCATTTATTTACCTTTTTGTCATTTTGTGTTATGTTTTTTTATTTGTCGTTGTTGTTTTACTTTTTTTTTTTAGTCATTTAGTGTTATGGTTCGTTAAATAAATCTGATTTATTTTCGCGATATCGTAAGGTAAAATAAATTATTTAAGAAATTACATCGTTTATTTTTAAAACTGTATTCTTATTTACTAAAAAAATGAAATCAATTTAAACAATCAAACAAAAATAATGTTTTTTAAATCCTCCTACAACTTTCTTTTTAGTCTAAAAACCACAACCCTAAATACGCACTGAAAGTAAATGCTTTCTATTTATTTCCTCGGAAAATAACACATGCAGTGAATAGAGAAAGATGCATTGGATAGCGAAAGCTACAATATACTATTTTTAAAATTTTTTATTTACTTAGTTTAACGACCAGTGGTAGTGGCATCTTTAGCACCATCACTGGCTTAGTGGCTACGCATTTTCGCCAATGATGAACAAGAGACTGGAATATCACATATCGTAGATTGTCACATATATTGCTTTCCCATTATTACCTATTCATATCCACTGTTTGCTCTCTGCAAATTTTCAGCAAGTGTTGATGAATGTCAGTGGGTCCAATTTGTTCAGCAATGATGCACCTTTTTATACTCATGTCAAACTCAATTTTGCCAGACAGTTGCTCAGTTCTATTCTGTAAAAAGCCCCGCTCTAAAAAAAGAAAAAGAAAAACGTTATTATGGGAAGGTTCAAATTCTACTGCCATCTCACTTACATCTGCTTCTGACATCATGGGCCAATAAAGTAGAAAAATAGAAGTCATTACTTCCAATGCTACCCTTATACAATTATGATCTTTTATAATTTATTTATTATCATTTAATTATTTTTTGAAAGCAATTAGTTTTTTTGCTGCCTTTGCCAAGTTAAATTCTCATTGATGGAGTTATTTTTATTTATTTATTTTTTTTACAGCTTCTTTAAGTTAACTGTGATTTGTAGGTAGTGAAATAATTCCATGGTCAAATTCCACCTGATGCTTTTGCATTCATTTAGCATTAATGCCTTGTGAGTGGAATAAATCTCTTTTTTCTCCCTGCCCCAATTGTGAGTAAAATAGTACAGTAGACTGGACTGCACTTTAATCTTGTAACGGAAACAGTCTAAGAGCAAGAAAACTCTGAATTCAAAACCATAGAGAAGCTAACTGGAAACCACTCCACTATCTTTCCCAAGAACATTCATGGCAATGTAGAATTTACAGATTAAAAAAAGAAAGGAAGCTGTGGAGAGCCATGATCTATTATGTCCTGAAGTGATTGGACGTATTTAAAAAAAAAACTCTGGATGATTATGAGTCAAGTCAAAAGAACTACTACTAACTGTACCTTCATCAATATCAGAAAGAGTGATATAAGTTAATGGACTTGAGAAACCTGTTTTCCTGAAAATCTGTCAATATAAAGATTTTATGAATTTTAACTTACAGTAATGCTGTTTGGCCAGTAGATGTTTCCATATAAGGAAATGGCTAATCTCACCATTATGTATACAAGTTCCTTCTGGAGAACAAAATGATTGAGTCAAACAGATACTGCTCCCAATTAGACCAAACTGAACAGGCAATATCACAAAGCATTTGGAATTAGTTAAGAAGACAAACATTCCAGAAAAATAATGTCAGACTGCATATTTCTTTGGTGACTATGCAAAAAAGCCATGTAGAACAGTTCTTTGTTCAGAAAGATAGAATAATCTCAGAGGCTGGAATTAAGATGTTTAAAAGATTGCAATAGTCAAACAAAACAGCATGTTTAATAAAGTAATGTGGAAAATATAAAAATTGCTTTTAATTGATAAAGTAAAGTTTGCTTTTTATACTATTCCTTATATATTTATCTTTTAATAGATTTATTTTCTTTGACAGGTTGAATGATTTCTGCCTCTGTTCTTATTGCTGTGATTGTTGTTGAATTTTACTGATAAAAACAATTATCTGGGTTGCGGATTTTAAGCTTAAATAAGCAATGATAAAATCTAGGACAGGTGAACTTGTAATTTGTCTTTTTTGAGACGAAAAAAATGTTATTTGATCATGTTACTTGTAAATACCTGATGTATTTTTATTTTAAATATCACTGATACTTGTAATGTTTGTTCTCAAATAATATTGAACAGAAAGTCAATTAAAGGATGACTCTTTTTTTTTTTTTTTTTCTTTTTTAGAGTTGTGTTTTTAGCAGTGTGAAGTGAAAAGTTCTTTGGTTCCTTTATATATATATATATATATATATATATATATATATATATATATAAAGAAAAATGAAATAATAATACAAACAATTAATATATACAAAGTTCTATAATTTAACATATTTTATTACTTAAATGTTATTTCTAGTGGATGCCCAAATTTGAGTAGATGGTCAGCTTATTTATTAAACAATATATTTATTATCATCTACAGGCCTGAATATTTGAGAAATTTTATTAAAAATGTTTGAATCCTGCCAGAGAGCACAGATTTTTCTAATAAGATTTCTTGAATATTCAAGTCAGTAGATAATAATAAATAAATACACTGTTTAATACATAAACAGAGCATCTACTCAAATATGTGTAACCACTAAAAATAATGTTTAAGTAATAAAATAAATGAAAAATTCATTCCTAAAAATATAACATATATAAAAATAGTTAATATTAAACTAGAGCAATAAATATTATCAAATTAGATATAATATTTAATACTCAACTTCAAATTATTTTCAATAACTTTTCAGTTACTCATTGGGACTCTAGACAAGAATGATTGCATTCTAGTTGGGAGTCTTGATGAGTGATTGAAAAATTATGAAATTGAGTTGGTTTTCGATAAGTATTGAACATAATTGTATCTCTCTTGCTCACTATATATATATATATATATATATATATATATATATATATATATATAGTTTTAAGATATGCTGTATTCAGAGGATAAAAGTGTTCAATAGAGTATAGAGCATGTGTAAACATAAGTAGTGTGGACATTAATTAAACACTGAGTGACGACAGTCTGTTTTAGACCATGTGGTTTATTTTATGGAAGGAGAAAATGAAATCTTTTCCTATTATTTCAAATTCTGAGATAAAATATTGACAATATTCTGTGGATTATTTGGACAAGTATTGTTATCTTTATTGTGTTTATCATAGCACTTTGACCAGTATAAATGCAATCTTCAAATGCTATTTACTGTATATTGCAAATTCACACACACGTGCACACACACACACACAAAGTGTGGCAATTTATCAAAATGGTCAGACATATTTATTCCAAGAATGGACTGTTCTGTGAAAGGAATCTTGAGCAGTTAACATCAAGTTTTCTGTGAAGAGAATGGTAAAAATGCTAGTGCAAAAAGGAATATTCTATAAAGAAATTAAGTCCTTTTCATTAAAAAAGATGTTACTAAATACTATTGCAGTGCATTTAAACTTCTGTCCTAATGTTAGTGTTATAAACATGCATATGTTAGCACGGGGGAACAAACAAGTACCACTGGTGAGGCAAAAAGATGAAAATAGTAAATATAAAATCTTTTTGCTGATACAGCGGATGTAAGTGGAATGTCTGTGTGGGTGAGGTGTGGCTATTTTGAATGTGAGTAGAGTTGATTAGGCCTGGATTTGATGTGTTTACAGGCCGGTTGACCAAGGTCATAATAGTAATGACAAGAGAGGCCAGGAGAGGATTGGTGAAGCTGCAAATCTGACTTTACTGATAAATTATGGTGGTGACATCAAGAGCCCAATGGGAGGAATGACAGCTGGCCTGTTGGCTATGTTTTGTGTCAGTTGTTGATAAGCAGCTTTTTTAAAAGCAAATCTAGTGGCTCCTGAGCTCATCCTTTTTCTTTGGTGGCAATGTTCATGATTGGCTTCCACATGTTCTATTTTAGATTTTTGTGGGGATTTATTTTGTAGGCCAGATGTGATGCTCAGAGCCCCTGTACAGAAGATGACATTTTTTATTTTAGGTTTTGCTTTCTTAGTGCTTACATCTAATTTGAAGTGGAGTATAACATTGGAAATGAAAGAAATAAAAACTGAAATAAATCATTGTTTAATTATTCTGATAGTTTGCATTCTTAAAAATGCTTGGTTCCTATTACTGCTCCAGAAAACACTTGATATCTTCCGTGCTTTAGCTTTACAAGAGTGAATGTAGCCTAAAAGTGGAGTATTTTTGTTTTTTAAAAATTTCTCTTCAAGCAATGTGATAAAGCCACTAAGATGCAAGGGTGAAAGAATATGAAAAAATCATTATTAAGGATAGCAAACAATAAAAGAACAGGATTCATGCACTCAGAAAATGACGATTGACATTGCATTTACATTTTTGAAGACCAAAGTTGTCTGGAAAGCAAAAAGCTGGAAGAGAGTTCCACAACTGAGAAGTGCAAGAGAAGAAACCGTTACCATAGAACTTACAGTTACAGCTAGCCATTTCAGTAGTAAAATGAGGAGACCTTGCTGTTAATCATTTCACCTGAAATAAGACAATAAATTCACTAAGATGCAAGGGAGGTTAGTGAGAGAATATGAGAAAAAAATTTATTAAGGAGAGAGAGAGCAATAAAAGAAAAGGAATTAAGAAGACAAAACATAATGACTGACATTGTTTTTAAATTTTTGAAGATCAAAGTTGACTGGAAAGCAAGAAACAAGAAGAAAGTTTTACAAGCAAGAAGTATGAGAGAACAAACTGTTAGCACTCTACACTAACAGTTTCTTCTCTCACACTAAGGGTTACATCTAGCAATTTCAGCTGTAAAATCATGTGCCCTAGCTGCCAATCTAGTACTGTGCTTAAATTCATAAAGTTGAGGTACCAAGAAGGAAAGCTCATAGCAACATTTACAATTAAAATATTTGTAGAAAAGGCAAAGGGAAGCTATAGTAGTGGGGAAAGTGACTGAAGCAGAGATGCCAGATCAGGACCAAAACCATTGCAGATTCTTCTTTGCTGTCATGTCTGAACTGGAGCTGCCCAATTCTTGCTTTCAAAAACATTTACAGAACAATGAATTATTTTCAACTCTACAGTCACTTTCCCACAGACAAAACATCTCAAGCCTTTTGCTACTCTATTACTATATCCACTGCAAATGTTCAAATTATCCTCAATCCCTTCATATTCCATTGTTATGAAGGAAATTCTACTCAAGCTGTTTCTTCCTGAGAACTGCTACTTTGTGGTACGGACTTACGAGAAAGACTTCTCTGATCATGACAATCTTAACCTCTTGAAATCAAGGGTCAATTGATATCTATCCTCCTTGTCCTCATAATCTTCAATTCCTTCTACTTCCTCTTACATTCATATTGCACACTTTGTTCAGTAATCCTCTACCATGAGTGGCTTTTGAGCATTTGTTGTGAACATTAGCATAAAAAAAGAAAAAGTGAACTGAAATACTGGGAAATATTTACTAGGATTAAATGTTAGAAATTGTGAAAAGGTGAGTTCAAGTATATTTAGCTAAGGTGTACATAAACTTCTGATTTATTTTTATATACATACAGGGTGTATCAAATATACTTGTACAAACTTTAGGTGTGAGTTCCTGAGACCAAAACAAGGTAAAATGTCCATATAAACATACGTCCAAAATGTTCTCCACTTGCTTCTACACACATGCAACTGTCGGATCATTGATTGGCAGACCCTTTTAAATACTCCTACATGATGTTGAATAGTTTCAAAGGCTCCCATGACATGTTGATGAAGCATCTCTGCATTATTAATGTCTGCTGCATAAACCAATTGTTTTAGGTGGCCATATAAATAAAAATTCAAATGATTGCAGTCAAGGGAATGTACAGGCCATGGAACCAGTCCTCTCCTACTTATCCATCTTTCATGGTAGATGTCAGTCAGTGCATCGTGATCAATGTGACTAAAATGTTCTAAAGTCCCATCATGCATGAACCACATGTGTCTTTGTGTTAGCAGGGGTGATCCTCTATCAGGTCTGAAAGTGTGTTGGAAATAAAATCCTTGTAGACAACTCCTGTAAAATGTGCTGGGAGAACATATGAACCTACCAGACAGTCACCTATAATTCCAGCCCACACATTAATCATAAGCTGATGCTGGTATCTAGCCTGTATTGTACCATGGAGATTTCAATCTGCCTGCAAATGTTGGTTGTGTAAATTTGTTATTCCATTTCTTCCAAATATTGGATCATCCATAAACAAGACTGAAGAGACAAACACTAGATCAGTAGTTGTGCAATAAACCATTGTCAAATGTTCTCCTGTGGTGAGTGATCAGAGGGCAAAAGACCCTGCACACATTGCAAATGATACAGATACAGGAGCTGCTCTTGAAGTAGCCTCCATGCAATACTATGAGATGTACGATATGCTAGGGCCACTTGATGTGTGCTGATACCTGGATCTTCTTTGACAGCCTGCAAAATGTGTTCTTTGTATCAGCCATATGAACAGGTCTCAGTCTTCCTCATTATTTTGTGGTGCCATGGGTCCTGTCTCAGTAACATAACAATAGACAGCAGCAAAGGTTGGATGACTCAGCTGCCTTCGGTCTGGAAATGCAATTTGAAATATCCATTCAGCCTCGCGTCCATTACCATTTGTGTGGCCATATGTAAAAATCATATCTACCTGTACATGATATGAATACCCTGCCATTATTAAATGGAACACTTCTCAGTTAACTCACTACTACATGTTAAATGTTGAAGACAAACTAGCCACAAATGTACAAGAATGACAAATGTAATGTAGTCTGCATGGCAACACGGTGCCATCTACTGTAAACTTTAAACTTAACTCAAAAATAAAATATTTGTAGACATATATTTATATGGACTTTTGTCATTGTTTTGGTGTGAGTAACCCGCCACCAAAGTTTGTCAAAGTATTTTTGAGACACCCTGTGTGTGTGTGTGTGTGTGTATGTGTGTATATATATATATATATATATATGAACCATTTTTCGGGGGCTTGTACTGCTTTTGGGCTAACAATCAGTCTGAAAAAGCAAAAGTTATGTACGTGTCTCCACATTTTCATTAACAGATCCAGGTTGGAGGTAGTTGACACTTTTGTATACTTAGGCAGTGCACTCACTCTTTAGGGATAGCTCACTGGATGCAGAAGTGAATTACCACATTGAACGAGCAAGTCAAGCATTCAGAAAACTTGAAAAGAGAGTATGGTCTGATTGTAAAGATGCTGATCTTTAAGCAAAAAGATCAGCATCTATGAAACAGTTGTTCTAATCAACCTTTTATATTCCTCTGAAGCATGGATCACCTATTATGTTTTTATCAGACAAAAATGATGAAACTTTATTCAATACTTGTCAGGATTAATTTTTTTTTTTTTTACTTTTTAATTATTTTTTTTGTTTTTTCTTCAGAAAATTGGCTGGGAAAACTCTGTTTATCACTGGTGCCAGCCGAGGTATTGGTAAATATATTGCATTAAAAGCTGCTCAAGATGGAGCCAATATTGCTATTATTGCAAAGACAGCAGAACCCCATCCCAAACTTCCAGGAACTGTATATACAGCTGCCCAAGAAGGTGAGAGTTACTGTAAATTCTCTTTTTCATATATCTGTCTTTTAGTTATATTTCTATTTAATGTAGCAATGCCATTATGATGCCATTTAAAGAGCATTTTTCCTCTTAAAATTTTTTTCCCCTCAATTTTCATCATTATCATTATAATAAAAATAATAATAATATCTGCCAGATGTTGCGCAAATATTATTGAGTGTGTATAATGTCTGGAGTGAGACAAGATGTTACCGTCCCAAATGACTGCCATTTATATTTGTCTACCAGTGCATGTGGCAAGGGCGGAATACTCATCTGGCTCCGTTGACAGTGTACTCGCTAGGACAGTTCCTCATGCAAGACAGTACTTCCTGTCCTACTCCACATGCCCACTTACCTGAAACATCAAGACATCTAGATTGAGGTCAGTTGCAGGGATGTCGTTGAGTAATCATGTGACAGACTTCACATCTGTGGAGACAGGGTCCTTGGTGTTCTGTATGAGTGTTCGGGCTGGTGTTGCATGAATGGCAGTTTGGCATTTGAACCAACGTCAATGGATATGTGCAGTCCTCGGGTTGTTACTGTAGAGGTTCAGGACTTGTTGGTGTGTACAATATGTCTAGCATTGGTGAAACCACCTCTGGTGTGGAGCAGTATAAGGAGTCAGCAATTGGAGGAAGTGGTGGTTGCGTTTGGTTATCTGGTTGCTCCTGTCAATTCACACACAGTACTGTCTGTTGCCAAGCACTTCCATAATTCACCCAGTTTTTGCTCATTGACATGGGCAAGGGCCATCTTGGTTCTGTATTTGAACTGATTCCTTGACTTCTAGCTCCCGAATTGGACGACTGTATGTTGTAGCATTATTCATTCTTCATGTATCTTTTGGCCATTGCTGTCTCCCTTAATCGGCTTACTTCCCTCTACTGCCTATGGATTTGGTGTTTATCCCACTGGGCATGGAGATAGTTTTTTATAACATGGCCATATAGCATCAATGCTGGAGATATGCCAAGGTCCTGAGCATGAGTGCTTGTGCGATCATGGGATAGGTGACAATGCCATCAAAAGTTCCTTAGGCTGTGTCAGAGCCATTCCATTACAAGTTTGGCATTGATCTCTAGTCTGCCAAATACTTGCATCCAATCCACGCCAAAACAGTTGTTGTCTGGCATTTGCAAGCATGCCATTTACATCCTGGTGTGTGGAGTGGAGTGATTCAAGTACCTCTGCAAATAGTTGTTTGTGTATGAGGATCTTATTGTCCATTATTAGTACTCCTTTGCACATAGGTCAAAATCGGCTGATTATTGCTGATAGGCCATGATGTGACCTGGAGAATCTGCTTTGTATATATTCAGCTAGAGTTCAGCACTCCTCATCTATGGCTGCAGTGGCCATAACTCTGTGCCCTGTGATTCCCCTTAACTTGAGGTCCTGTTCATAAGTGGTGTAAAATGATGCCTTTATAGCACTGTCAACTATTTATGTAGCATGCTTAACCATTCTACCAACGTGTTTATAGTGTGGGGTACCTTGAGCTACAGTCTGATGCAGCATTGATTTTGCTGGGGTGGTGATTTATACAGAATTTATACATCAGGAAGCGTTCCGTGAGGCTGAATAATCGTGGATTTTTTATATTCTCTAGAGCCTTGTCCAAAAAAATTCTTATCAGTGGTTTGTGGTCCATAGTTACCAATAAGTCTGGACATCCTAGCACAAACATTCGAGAGGACTCCAGTCTATAGACCAGAGCCAGTGCCCCTCCTTTGACTGGTGCATAGAATGATTCAGTGTCACTGGGGAAGTTTCCAGTGGTTTTCATCACAATTGGGTCCTGCTTCTTTAGCACATTTGCAGTGTTTATGAAACAGGAAGAAGCTAATACCATTCCTGCTGTAGTTTGTTGACAGTCATGTTGATCTTTTAACTTCAAATGCCTTTATTCCATCCTCAATTTCTTGCACAATCACCTGTTCAGATTTGTTGAACAGTTGAGCGAGTGTGTCATCCCAGTAAAACTTCTGGTCTTTTGAACGTAGCAGTTACCAGAAAGGAACCATTATCTCAGCTTGGGTGAATGTGTATGATACCTGGTTTACTAGTCCAAACCAGAATCTGACACTAGTGATGTTTGTAGGTGTAGAGAACTGCTGGATGTTTTCTGTCATTTTTTTCTTAGGTTTTATGCCATATTTTGTTATCTGGAACCTGGTAAACTCCACCACCTCTTCTGCAAAATGGAACCTCCAGGTTGAAGATGATGCCATTCTTGCTGCAATGGGTGATTTACTCATTGTGTGTCAAAATCCTGTTTCTATTGAGTCATTCCAAAGTATGCTGTTATCTATACAACATCATATCATCAAAATGATGAGTATATGCATCTCTTGTAGCATAGAAACCCTGTGGATTGTTTGTGCTGGTACCATTTGAAACTTGATTAAAAGGAGATGGAGTATGGTGCATCTCCCTTATGGTGCCAGCATTGGGTTTATAGGTCCACTTTATGTCTGGGTGATCCATCCTTCTTTGGTGCAACCATCATTCTTGAGCACCAAGTTGCAGGGCTACCAACCAGTCTTGGTTTGATGATGCCCAGTGCAATATCCCAGTCAATGACCGGTTTGACCCTCTTCCAATGATGAGAAACTGGGATTCGTGTGTAGACTGTTGTCAGTGTTGTTTCTGGAATGAAGGTGATGTTTAGAGGCTTCTCTTTCATCATCTGTAGTGGCTAGTGAGGGCACATATTGAATATTCTTGGCCCAAAATGCTCTTTTATTCATTGCTCCAGTCAGTGCCTATTGTTTTCTGTTGGGGGAAATGGGATAGCAGTCAGCTTTGGTGGGGTGGCCATTCTTTGAGGGCATCCATACCGATCATTTCTACTGGCACTTGTGACATTTTGCCATGATTTTGGAAAATTGGAAGGTAGTAATTCTAGATCTTTCCAGGCTGACTTAGATAAGTAAAATCCAGAGATGTTGTCCAATACATACATGGCTTGCTGCATTTTCTTTGATCCAACCCTGATGTGCGTGAATAATATGCCTTTTATGCATAACTGGTCATCTGTTATGTCACGTATCCTGTTACTGGTTGGCATGAGATATTTGTTTGGGCATTTGAGAATCTTTTGTATCTCAGGTTTGCTTGAGCAAATCTGTGCTCTGGTGTCAGCACTAGTGACAATTTGGTGGGTGTGGAGACTATCCAAGCTTGTTGTAGTGTACCTGAATTCAACATGGGATTCTGGTGTCAGGGTCATTTCCACTGTTAAAGATGAAAGAGGTTCTGGAGGTTCCCTGTGGAACTTGATTCCATGAAGTATGCACTTTGGTTGTGTTGGGTTGACCCTACCACTCCATTATGATTGTCCAAATTGGTGGGTCACCTTGCTGGGATTATATGTGTGCCCCCTGTTAGTAAACACAAATGAATTGTCTTTTGTTATGCTTCTCATGAATTATTGGCAGACATCTTTTTGAGTTTCTGGCAAACCCTTTCCACATGCCCCCGTAATCCACAATTGAAGCACCTTAATTTGGCCGCTGGATATTCATTTCTATTCATTGATCCATTGGGATGTGTAGTCCCCTTCAAGGCTTGGCATAATGTGGGATCTTGATTCCCTGGGACTGTTGCTCTCTGTCTGACCTTTGCAAATTAAAATGATGTGATAGTGGGTACATCATTATGGAAATAAGGGATTGACTTGTCTCTGGTTTCCAGGCTGATCAGCTTTTCAAACTTCTGCTCCAGAGTGATGAGGGCAGTGGCCTCTAACAATATTCTACTTTGATGTTCAATTTTAGCACAACCTGCCACCTTTTCCCCAGCAACCATGTCCCTGGAATAGTTTACTTGCAAGCCGCAACCACTTTCATTTGGGCAGGTAATCACAAATTCACAAAATCTTGTTCGGGCTCATAATCAGGCTAAGAAATGTGTAAGTGACTCACCCTCCTTTTGTCTCATAGTGTAGAAGTTTTGTATGTGCACCTCTTTGTGTAGTCCCCTGTGATGAGCCATATTTTATGTAGTGGGAGAATTGAATATTTTGGCCCAAGTCAAGCAATCTGTTCACCTCAGGGGAACACCTCATCCTTAGCTCATTGCAAATCTCTACTTGGTTGGTCAGTCCACACATTTCCTTGTACCAGGTCCATGAGCCCATAAACATTGCTCAGTCACTGTCTGTTATGTCTGGCTCTATTGTAGGCTGTTCTGATTTCCTTACGTTGGACATATCAGACCTGTCGTGATGCCCTTCCTCTTTACTACTCAACCATTTGTTGCATAAGTTGCACATATTGTTGATCCTCGTATGGTTGCACTGATGCCTTGTTTTGTTAAAAATCCTTGCAAAATTTTGCTTCACAAATACATACCATTGGTATTTCTTGCAGTTAAAATTTTGTTTGATATCCTACTGGTTATGCCATGTATAATGTCTGGAGTGAGACAAGATGCCACCATCCCAAATGACTGCCATTTATATTTGCCTACTGGTCCATGTGGCAAGGGAAAACTATTTGTCTGGCTCTGTTGCCAGTGTACTCTCTAGGACAGTTCCTCATGCAAAATGTACTTCCTGTCTTACTCCACAGAATGGAGGAGTTATGAATTAAAAGAAAATTTATTTTTTCTTTTACCTAAATGTCTGTGGTTTGAACAAATGAATAACACAACAAATATCACTTACCTTGCTGCTAGCAGGAAAACTGAGTAAATGAGAGAAAGAGGTTTTACAGACAAAAATCCAGTATATTGCGAGTGATTAGTTTATAGCACAGAAACCAAGAAACCTAAGGACTATGGTTCATAGCTTGTTGCAGGCATAAATTGTGAAGAAGATTGTTGTTAAGTTGCTTTAGTAATGCTTCACAAAGAATCCATTTGGATCTCACCACTGCTTCATTTGGAAGAGATGCAAATGACAGCAGCATGAACAGTGAAACATCTAACATGTCAAGTGCAAGCTCTTCAGCAGAAAATGTTGGCAATATTCCATA